TACTTTTTCAGAGTTATAAATTTTCATAGTATTTCAGCCTATTCAATGTACATACCTATACAAATAAGAATTCTCAGTATAAATTTCACCTCAAGCATTAAACTCTCGACTAGAGTAAAAGGTACTAGCTGTACCAATAAGTAATTTACCATTTTCGTAATACATAATAGGTCAATATAATTTAAATTCAATACACCTTTCGAGATGATTTCGAGAACATCGGCGTATTTGCAAATATTGGAAATCAATATTAACCCCTTGCAGGACTTTGATGGGTCTGATTCGTGATTAGAATTTTGGGCCGAAAATGAATTTCACGAGTGAGATTCGTGGTATCAATTTCGGCCATATATTAAGCACTGGGTATATATGTTTATTGTAGAGATAGCGGCTGATAGGAATAAGGGCTAAAATCTAAACAGTCTCTGAAGTAGGGAACCTAAACAGAAACTTCTGTGTATCACTTTGACCGGATTTTGCTGGGCTAAATGGTCCAGCAAGGGGTTAAATTTCTTGAAGAATAGCAGATTACTCATTGGTATGTTTTATATAATACTAAAATCCTTTCTGACCTGTATTACGTGTGCGTTTTCGCAAGTAAACTAGAATTTTTATTTTTTTTCTACACCCTACGTTTTCAATGGTTATGTGTTTCCATCGAAGAGTACACATTCTCTAAGATTTGTAACTATTACAAGCGTTTCAGGAGCATTAAAAAAAATACAAGGCTACTAGTTAATACATTTCCTAATGTCCATTGAAAGGGACTAATGTTAAGAAGATTTTAGTAACAAGTTGATCTGTTACTCTTGTTTTTAAAAATAGGGGATACGGAAAAAATATGGACATAGTTCCAAGAGTGAGTAAAGCAAAGTAATGTTAAGGAATAGTCATGTTACAGTTAAAATTATCAAAAAGTGGGGCAATCCGCAACATACGTATTCCTCATGCAAATACAAATCGAGAACTCCTTTACCGTTTTGTAATCTAAACGCAATCATGAATCGCACGACCCAATGTTGACCTGAATGTTACGGATTGTTCCGTCTTTTTGGGACACCCTGTATAAAGTAAAGTGTTCTGTACTAGTTAATATTTAACGGTTAAATTTCCTTCATTTTAATACAAGTGAAGTGCTTATTAGATAAATGATTTAGTCTCATATCTTACATTCTTCGTAGTATTTTATTATTGGCTGTAAGGAAAACAAATGTCAGCCAAACGGCCCACCATTTTGATACACACCTAAAAAATACACAGCACGCGCCGTAAACTTTTTACGTTACCCTTCTTTCACGAAGCATCGAAGCTAACTCGTACCTTTAAATGAAACACATTTCTTCTATTCATCTCTAGCACGGAAAATCGCTAAAGCTTCAACGACCTGAATTGAAATACCATCTCGATGAAAAAGATATGTATTTCAAAGTAACGGCGGTGATTCGAAACATTAAATGTGAATTCCGTGTGGCAGATTTCAGGCTCCCTGCGTTCCCTAAAGCATACGTTATCTATTCAGCAGATACGTGTTTCCGTGATTCTGTTTGGCGGAGGGAAACGTATACCTGTACAGGTATTTGTTTGCGTTAGTCGTCGACTTTTATGCGAAAATCAACCATTCTGGGACGTTTAAAAATTTAACGACCTAGAATCCCAGATGTTTCGCGTAAATTGTTAACTTCAACTTTGGTTATTGCAGAATCGAAGAAGTACACTATGATGTAAGACGTGTATACTTAATAACTTCGCAATATGTTACAAACACAAATCGTGAATAAAGTGCAAATTTTTGTGCAAAATTGTTTGTAACTTGTATTATCAAATATTACAGAAAATTAAAAAAAAACTGCATTTAGTTTTTGTTGACCAGTTTGTCAAAAATAAATTAAACGTGTAACTTTACCTAATTTTAAGCTTTGTCTCTATACACACCCTAATAGAAAATATTCTTCTATGAGATTATTACGAGTCTTACCATAAATTGATACGTTTCGAGATATGCGAGATTCTAATATCGTCTTTCTAGTTCTTTAATCTGTTTCTAGATCATGAAAATAAATTGGCACATTATCTTAAATATTAAAGAGAATAATCTTGGTAAATGGATTGTTCTTAATATAAATGGCAGGAATAATTATGAGACTCAAATATTCGATTGATCATGATTGCCTGACACTTGAAGCCATAAATAAATATTGTCAATCAGAATTTTGCGGGTTTGTAGATGGAATTTTTAATGTTGTAAAGAGGAACGTTCTCGAGTAGACAGTTTCTCTAAGGAACTGTCAAACGCGTAGTCAACGAAACCAATAATTTCTTTAAACTTTTGCCCCACTAATTCACATTTTCCTTTGTAAGTTTCACAAAATAAAAACTGTTTTTATTAAAACAGTTGGTAAAGACTATTTTTTAATACAAACGATTAAGATAATTTATGTTCTTATAATACCATTCTTTTAATGATACTAAATTTTTATTACTATGCGACGAAGCATTACTTATCCAGGGCAATTTACAAGAAAGTTTAAAATTCCAATTTTATTGTTATATACGTATTGATTACCATGTATTGCATTAACTTATAAATATTATTTTCATACAATTGATCTTCATGGAAGAAATCATTCATTTTGGCAGATTGTCATTTATTTTTCAAAATAGGTGTCAGTCCTTGAAATGGGTGATTCTTGGGGAGATTTGAAACAACTTTTTCCTTAGCGAGAAAGTTCTCTGATTAGTCGGGGTTTTTCACTATCCCCTGCTTTTATTTTATTCAAATACTATATTTCCATTTGACAAGCATTTTGTCATTAAACTTGTCACTGTATATAGAAGTTCGGATTAAAATCTGACAATTCCGTTTATTCATCTTTTGTCTGTAATAATCCGCACAGCTGTCTTGCCTTTATTTCTAAATAAAGGTAAAATAACATAGTAAAGTTAACAAACAATTCTTTTCCGTTGATTCGTTCATACAAATCTGATGTTTCTTTTTCGCGCGCCGAACAATGGCCTCAATAATGCAATTATCAGGGAGTAACAGTAAAATTGTCGTCAGAAATTCATAAAAGAATATTCTTCACTTGCATTAACTGCATTCTTAATGATATGCGTATTTTCAAGAGAACGTTAACTCTTACGTAGCAACTGAAGTTAAAAGTGTCCAGTAAACAGTAGAATATTGTTTTTCTAACATATACACGTTATTTCTAATGAAAGAATATTTAAAAAGTGTACGACAAAACGATTAGACATATTATCTTGTCTGAACGATAATAAGAAAACAATTCTTGGGATAAACAGAAGAATGGAAATAATTCCTGCAAATATACAGGATATGCTGTTATTAATTAATTTCCTCAGAGAAGATAATCGAGGACTTAAAGTTAAATTTTTTGTCTTAGACCATGTCTTGTCTAGTCCATTATCTTCACTTAGAAAAGAGTATTATCCCTCAGTTACCAGAATCATCCTGTATAACGATACAAAATAACCAATTAAAATAACCAATAAATTTCACTGGAATGAAGGAAATCAGGTATTAAAAGTAACATCGGTCTACGAATAAGGCCTGACTGAAGACATTACGTCATTACACTACTGATTGTCAAATACAATTTTCCATTCTCGAGTAAAATTTCATCACTGTTCCGTTTAATATCAATTCCCGCTTAACCTCGTCTACCAACGTTTAATACTGCTCGATTGAATGATTCTAACTAAAAGTCAGCGATTGAAATCTCATCAGATTCAATCTCTAGTCTGCATCTCGTCGAAATGGATCATCGAGATGTGTCGTCAACAGTGTCCGTACGTTTAACGTCGTCTCTCGACGATGTATACATTAGAGTAACAGTAACAAGTACAGTATACGAAAATAAATAAGATTATATCATGGCATTGTTTTGTACGCATCCTTCTGTGCAGGTACTCGGAACGATCCTGCGTTCCAAACAAAAATTCTTCAAGCTTTCGATCGATCACGCATCACTGGAAGTATAGTCTATTTGATTAATAGGTCTGCGAATATTCTCCTCCTATTTTTCGTTTATAACGAAACTGCAGCAGGTTGATTGGATTTCAGGTGTTTTCGATGGAACAAATCTGGTGACTTTTTTTGGGGCCGTTTCCAGTTACTACATGAATTAGTAATACCTTCACTGGGTAAAAGCATTCTTGCAAATGTATTCTTTGCTACTTCCTTTGTTAACTACGAGTCTCAATTAGAGGATTTGGATTGGTATAATTATTATATTTGTTGAATCAAATCGATTGTTCTTCATTTAACATTTTACTATTCAAATAAAATATAACAGACACTAAAATCATTTATTCTCTAATGACAGAGCCCTGGCAATGACTAGGGGATAATAATCAAAGTTTGGTCTTTGAAATTTGACTTTAAAAACAAAAGTCTTCCAATGCCACCGCATTCATTCCACCGAGAACAAACCTGTTAGGATATACAAATCGAAACGCAGAGCAAACAAACGTCATTGCGACAAGCATAAGTGGACAAAAATGGACGGGGTTGGAAACGCATTTGCTCGTGCCTGGCACAAATCGACGTTGTCTATACAGCCTCACAAGAAACATTGGACACCGGCTAAAAAAAAAAAAAAAGAAAAGAACTCGAGGAACCAGATACACTTGCAGGTTAGGCTCTGGATTACAACATTAGCATTTAACATTAACTCGCCTCGTTGCCGAGACGACGATTGCAAATTCCGTTGGAGAGTCAAAAGTTTGCATGTTTTTTGTTTGTCACGTACACGAGACAAGTTTTGCTTTTTCTGATTATTATGTTCGTAAGAAGGTTAAATCACTTTGATGGCAAGCGTTTTAAGCCTATAAAATTTGCTTCTTTGTCAGCAATGATTGAAATTTTCAACATTCAATATGGACACATCCTCTCTATGTCTCTTACTCTAAGAAAACAACTTGAAGATAAGGAATAATTACATATTTGATAATTATTTTGAATAGCTCGACGCTCAGATTCACTTTGTGGGCGTGTTGCTCACAGAAGGTGGCAGATTAATTAACGGTGAACTACTTATCCTGGATGTTCTTGGCTCGATCTCCACGGACATGCGATACAAATCCTTCTCGTTCAGAAGCAACGAGGGGTCCAGTAGGTAATTCGTCACTTTTGTTATTAACTTGATCTTATACGGCGTTTGTTGGAAGTTTCGTATTTCACGAATCACATGAGCAATCTAGGAAATGACGAACACAAATATTGAGATATATTGAATACGTAATAATTTCAGCAGAACATTGAAACAATCTAAAAAAATAATAGTACCATTCGCATTTTGGAAAAATTCAAAAGGCCGTCTTCGGTCATAGTTGGTGTACCCTCTTCTATGAAGGAAAGGTCGGTCAAGTAGAATCCTAAGTATGGAATACAGGGTGGATCACACCGATGTAAAGCATGCCTTAGGTTTTTAAAACGCCCATCCGAAGAGACAATGTTTTGAAGCCTTTCGATTGTTTGCTTTGTCTGTAAATTTATGCATAAATTACAGTTCATTTCACAGTTTTAGCAGTTCACAGTCGTTGCAATTGTAAACATTACAGTAAAAACTACATAAATGTTCAAAACTCGGTTCCAATTTCGTTAGAATCCCTGAAATGAAGTCTAAGGAACGATCCATTTGGCATAGAATAACCGACATATATTAAGTACGTATTAAAAAATACGTCGAAATATTTATTACTTCTCCCGATTAAATTTTATAAAAGTCTTCGTTCAATCATTTTGTATATAATACAGTTTTGGCCATTTTTATCTGAACTGTTTACCGTTTTAGAAACTTTTTCCCAAGTCTTCTTCAGTCTGAAGACGCTACTGTTCGTGAAGGCTGCGCAGATTTGTAGCACGCCATTGTAATTGCGTAAAACTCGGTTGATATTTGCGACCTCGGTCCATTTTTCGATTGCGGCGACCCTCGCTGACATGCTGGAGCGTCGAATGATCTCCGAAACGACTAGTTGAGAGACTTCGTTGAATCTCTTGGTCATTAGGAGAATATGAGGCGCACGAGTAGCCTTGTCGGTCTTCATCCACGCTTGTCCCAGAAATTCTCTGCGCAAAGAACATAATGTTAAATTATTAATAAGAAGCGAAGAAGAATCAATTACATAAATCATGTACAGCAGTAGCTCTGCTTGTCAATGCAACGTATAATTTCTGAAAAATTTATTATACAAGAACTACGTGTTAATAGTGTTAACGACTAAAAACATTTACGTATAATAAAAAATTAAACGGAGCATTGCTTTAAGTATCCAAACAACATCTCTTGCAGTTAGAACTAATAAAATATTATTTTCACAGCCATCGCTACTCTCATGTCAGTTCGAAAAAAATTCTTGAATTTTTGCGGAAGTTCCGTTTTTTCTTAAATCTGCAAGTGATATCTTTTACATACTTGAAATTATTTTTCACGGTAATGGTATTCATAGTGAAACCCACTTTGTTGGCAGAATACATATATTGCAGTAGAAAATTAAATAATGAGTTTAACTTTATGTTTGTAGTTTGTTCTGACAATGCTATTGAAAAGGAAGGTACACGCCATGATTACTCACTCGTTCGAAATGGACACGAAAATCTTGTGATCCAAATACGTCATTTGTTCTGCAATTTCTAGCGCTAATAGCGTCTCGATGCTCTCCTTGCTTTGAATCTACAATGACATGAGAATCTTTATGAATGCATTAGTTGTGTCTTAATAAAACAATTCAAAATTTGAAACTGTCGAGATCAGTATGTTCGAAATTGCCCATATAGGGTAACAGCATCTAATATCGCCTAGCACGAATACGTACCGTTGGTGGAGTCAACAGCTTCTTGAGGTCCACTTTGTTGCCCTCCTGTTCTTCCTTGGTAATCAATCGAAGAACTCGGTTCGCAGCTTTATGTTCAGCCGGTAGTAGATTAGGACAATAAATGATGTCCTCCAAGAACTTGATCGTTAGACTTTTTAATCTCTGATCAGACTCGAAATCCTGAGCGTGCTTCGAGACCCAATGCCGCAGAACGTTTAACACACGCATCGTGGCTGCTGTTGATACGATTGACTCTTTCCGTCCAGAGACGCTCTTACAAGATCCACTTCGATTATTACCATTACCTTCTCTATCCGGAGGATTGCTGGCTGCTGATGTTGCTATAGCGAATGCGGTGGCAGCTATCGATGTACTGCTCCTAAGTATACAAGCGATCGGATTAATACTTTTTTCAATTTTCAATCAAAAAGCACATGTATATCATTTCTTTCATAAATTAAGTAGAAATCTGTAAATACGGGTGTACTATTCGATCCTATCGTTTACACTTATCGAATATTTCCTGTATAGAAATTTATCCACACACTAGTGAAATAATATGATAATTTTCAATCAAAATTGAACATTCTTCAAGTTTCAATTTTTAAGGATTTTTTTTTATTGAGGTATGTTGCGATGTATATTTTTTGTGAGAGAATTGTGAGAGAAAACACACACATGTCCACAAATTTTATTGTAATTAGGAGATTACACAAGGTGTTATATGGCGTTTTAACAAATTCTGTTTTTCATGCAGTGGGGCCACAGGTGTTGTAGCAACACTCCATTGGGCAATGCAAAGTAGTGTCTCATCGCTAGTTTGTAAATCAACATCAGCAACGAGTGTCGAGTGTAACAAGACACTAAATTATAGCACACTTCGACGATTCCCTTGATGAAGCTACTCGATGAAAAGAGGAAACAAGATACGTTGAGTGTGATAGGAATCCAATAACTGAGAGGCATCCACAATTCGTGTACACTTGGTTCACTTAATTCGCATTCATATTGTACACTCACAAAGGAAGTTACCAAGATGTATACATTATTTTTGAAAGAATAATGGTTAGAAGTTGTAGAACCCGATCTCAAGCGAACTGAACTAAGTGTCATTCGTCTGGAAAATTCAATATCGACGAGAAAAATTTAGACTGAGAAGTCTTCTATTTGTCTAAAGTTTCTGTACTCGAAAAATATGTTTTTTTTTCATCCTAATTATCTAGCATTAAAAATAGAAAATTATAGCGACCCTGGCTCGTAACATTTCAATTTCCTTAACGAAATACAGTGCGTTTCATTTTCAAAAACCTGGTAGACCTTCAAAACTTTATACTTAAACAATGTAGAAAAGAAATAATTTCATTTGATGAACAATATCTCCAGTGCGTTTCATAATAATCACTAATTCACTTTTTCCTACAATCAGTGTTATTAGTTTCACACTACATGTATTTTATAGACCTGGCTGTAGTGGTCAATTAAGCGGAACAAAAGATGTTGCAGCATATATCTTCTTTATTATCTACATACTGTTCTATACAGGAAGAAAAGTAAATTCTACCATATGCTGTATCTATATAGAAATCATTCGAATTATGCTGAATCAGAAACGAACGGTGCCTTTTTCACTTTGATCATTATTTAAACATATTTAGATGTCTATAATACAATAAAAATTGACACCATTTTATTCGAGAGAGTCCAGAAAATTAGTTCGTGTCAAAACCAACTGAATAACTATTACTGTAAAAGCGCAACCACGTTCGAATTTGAAAATTTGAAATTTTTAATATTAGAGTTAAAAATTACCGCACTGTAAAAATGTATGAAACCTACTATTCCAAATATCAATTAAGAAGTATATTTACATATAATATAAGTGAGCCAGAATATTTCGAATGATTTTAGCCTGAACTCTAATGTGCACTAATATACATTTTAGCATCTAATCAACTAAAAAGATATTGGCAATCCACCTTATGCATTCGATCGTTATTTCATACTACAGTTTTAAGTGGTGAACATTATAATCGCGAACATCCAGTGATAGAAGGCATCTAATAGGTTAAAACTATTTCTATTTCGTTTAGCTCGCTCGTGGTTTTAGTGCAGTGCAGATTACAATAAAATAAAATTAGAAGATGAGATTCTCATTCATAAAAATCTTCAATGTATTATACAATAAGAAATTTATGGAATTTTGCTGCATTAGAAAGAATTAAAGAAGATAACTAATATATGAATTTTATAAATAAAAAATGAAACGTCATTCATATGGCAAGCACACTTACAAACGTGAGTATTACTTATAGTATACATTCTTTCCAAATATCTATAAGAAACATATTTTCAGAGATTTGCAAGAACTAATAAATAATTGTAGAGTGAAATGTAAAATTTCAATTTTTAATTGCAAATATAAGCAATTTTCTGAACTTAGAGTCATAAGTGATTCCATCCAAACTATCGATCGGCTGTATTCATACATACATATTTACATGTATTGTAGAACAGCTGATGAAACCTAAAAAAATTAAATCTAAAAGAAACTGTGCTTAAATATTAGAAATTGAATGGCTCTATAAGCAATATTTCCCTCAAAGAATATTTTGTCCATGAGATGTTTACAATTCGCTGATATGAAATTCAATGCATAATTAGAATAGTAAAGTTGTTGGTTTTCGTTCTTTTTTAATAACGTATTGATAGAGAAACCAAGTTCATACCAAACACTTGAGGCATTCATCGTGAACATAAATACCAAATACTAAACATTGAGAAGAAGAATAAATTTAAGTCTATATTGGTGATCGTCTATTTTGACACTTACGGTGCACGTTCGGTGAGCATAAACAGTTAACAAATAAGAGGGTGTACAAGTGAGTTTGGTACACTGCTCGTCATGCGGCACGCAGGAATTGGAAAAAACGTCTTTCCAGAAACTGAAAGGATGACACTTACCAGAGAGGTTCAGGTCCAACGCTATGAGTGACACAAAACGACATATGAAACACAATTTGCGTTAAAACAACTAAAATATTGACTTGAACAAAGAAATGAACTTCATGAGTCACCTATGAATTGTTATAAACAAACTAACTGGCGAGTTCGTAGAAGCAACACTCTGTACATTTTTCAAGCAATATAAATCTCATATCTATCTTTCTTCGACAAACACTTAAATTGCATTATATTACCAACATAAAGTTTCCGATCTGAAATCTTCGTTTTAAGATCAGTTACTTTGATTTATCAAATGAATTGTACATATATGCGTCCTGATATGTGAAAAGTAAATGGGACATGATTATGAGAAAAGCTATACTGAATTAAAATGAGTATTAGATCACCCCAACCATAATGCGGTTCTTTTGATTTCATGAATTACAAACATACGAATGACTTTATTATTTTTTTTTTTTATTTATTGGTGCTTATTATCGCATTGAGTTGTATGTTGTCTTGAATTCAACATTCGACCGGTCCGCGTAATTTTTGGGATGGTCTAACATGTATGCAGACGTAATATTAATTTCAAGAAGAATGTATACTCGGAAACAAAAGTAGAGATAAGTACACATAAAATTCTCAACCTTTGTGTATAAAAGTAATTGCATGTAAAGATATATCGAAAAAGAATTCCTCTGTCTACAGAAAAAAGGAAGATCATAGGCGGAAGAGAAAACACATAAGTAAGTCACCGAGACAAAGCACTCATGCGTAAGAAAGTGGAAAAATACCTTTATTGCAATAAACATTCAGTAGCAATACCGAGAAACGAAATAGAGATAATTTCGTTCGTTATCATAAACACAAATGCCTGTACAAAATGAATTTTCTTAACTGTATATTCGAGACAACCGCGTTCAATGGTGACGTTGAACATTATCTCTTATCGTGACTATCGATTCAGCACGTTTTATTGTCGCTGTTAAATGATACGACACCACTGTACTCCTATCGGGCGAGTACAAGTAATTATATGTAAATTTTGCTCGATGATATATTTCACGTGGGAGATTATTTTCTTTCTGTTCACAAAAAAAAAAAAAAAAAGAATCTGAAATTGATCGACATGCGCACTTTTCACGATGTCTACCAACATATCGAGGTAAACATTTAAACCAGTCAGGAATGCTCGAACGAACCTTCGGTGACTTTGTCGGAAGCTGGTTATCACTACTCCTACTTTACTGGACACTTGGTCGTGTTGGAAGTTCCCTTGTTGGCTAGACATTTCGTTCTCTTGAATCGATCGTCGGCTGGCCCAATAATTCTGTAAAAAGGAAGCAGTACAGATTGCCTTTTACAGTGCTGTAAATAAGGCTAATCAAAAAAATAACACATTCGAACGAGTCACGATAAATTATAAAACATAACATTTCAATTTGGCTTGAAACTGACAAACGAAACCTTCATGGTAATTTCGTTATTCTTGACTTTCGTCTTAGTTGGGCATGTAGAATTACCACTTAAAGTTTCTGACGCCAGGTGCCGAACACTCTGCATAAACTTCAGAGCGACCAGGACCACAGATAAAGTATTAAGAAAATAGAGATTATACATTAATATACCTACTATAAAACAGGTAAAATTTACCGAAAAATGTAATGTCCGATATAAAAGAAATTATAAATTAAAACGTAAGAACTGATAAAATGATAAAGAGGGAATTCAATTTACGTACGCCAGTAATCGTTGAAATCGAACTACTTCTTGCAGTAGCCGCGGGAGCGGAAGCAATCGATGCTCTGTGCTGACTATAGTGCGGCTGCTGTTGTTTCTGTTGAATCTGATGCGGAGATTGTGGCTGTGCCATCGAGGCAGCGAAGTCGCTTTCTGCGTGATGTTTCTCTTTCTCTTGTTTGCATATGTCCTTTTCCTTTTCGATCGTTTCAGCAAGTTTCTCCTTTGGTGTGGATGGTGTCTGTGCAGATGACTCTCCTTTCACTAATTTTGGTGTTTCCGGCCCGGAGTCGTCATACGTAAATTGTACGTCTAAAGATATGATTGTAAATTTTTAATTATGTATGGAGGATAAAAAAATTCTCTTCTCGATTAAAAAAGATTAAAAATATTCCTCGTTTAAAATTGTAGGTGGCAATATGTTTGCACATTAGACGATGCATTCATAGAAATGTTTAATGCTTCGAATGTAATAATTGCAAAATGAATTACAGGGAGTACGAGACGGTATTGTCAATGATAACAATGTAAAAACTATTTAGAACATATTTACTAAGGTACGAAATATTCGTTGAGTTTAATTTAATCGAAGTATCGGAGAGAACAAAGATATTTATAGAACAATGTACACATATGATACAGAGTAACACGAGGTTTCAGATTAAGATATGTTCTTTGTGATCAAACCAAATTCATAAAACCTATTTAATAGCAGACTGACCATCGTTGGATGGTTCCGTTGCAACAGGCGTGTCAGTCTCTTCGGAGGCACCACGGGAATATATACCTCCGTCTTGAGGACTTCGATCCGATCCAGAACCTGAACCAGATCCTGTGGACCCAACTAACGTAACAGAACTTAAGTTACTTGGTGATGATGGAGCACTGATCACTGTATTATCTGAAAACAGAAAAAGTGTTATAGTTAGCTTGGGTATATAAATTATTCGATTTGATGTACAAACGTAAGTATTTTAGTAACGGTTCTTTTTCCATCCCTGCTCTTACCCGTAAGAGTTTCAGCGCTCGACGAAGCAGCAATGGCTTTTGGTATCTTTAAATGACACCCATCGTCTTCTTCCTTCTTCTCTTGATCTTCTTGAATGTTGATCTTGCGTGACATTGCTGGAGATTGGGACGCAACAGATGCGGTGGATGAGTGTATAGTTGGACTGCGTTTTATAATCGATGGGGTTTCCGGGGCCACGCGTTGCTGCTTTTCCTCTTCTAGCAAAACAGTAATAATTATTCAGTTATAATTTTAACACTAGTCTTTACTGAAAAGTATGTAATTATAAATACGAAATTATTGGGTAAATAACGCATTTTTAAGTCGTTCTTAACAGATTTACGGTGTCTATACAGAAAAATTTTAGAGCGACCACTACCACAAGAAAAGTTTTCAGAAAATAATGGGTTATTTATTGACTTATCTAATACAAGTCTTACATAAAATTAACACCACAATAAAGTTTATTGAACTTGTCAATGTATTGAATTTCTGACAATCGAGTACGCTGTAAATGTCATTTATAGTTCTGATTGAAAGATTAATTTTGTAATAATAAAGAATTACCCTTCTTATGCCCACTTTGCCAGTACCCTTTAGGATTCAATGTATATCCGCCACCAGAGAAATCACAGGAACCGTGACTTTTTATTTCGCTTATTTCAGATCCATATCCTAAATGCAGAAAGATATTACAATTTAAATCCTTGACCGATTAAATGTAGTCTTATATATTCCAAGATTCATGAAGCAGAATCTAATATTTGTACAAACAGATAAATTTGTAATATTTAATACAGATAAATATTTTTGCAATCAAAAACTTATTTTCTGAACTAGTGCAAATTATTAACAGAATTTGCGGTATATTATACCGGAAACGGAACTAGCACCACTAGGTCTTCGCGGTGAAACACTGCTCCTCCTTCGATCATCTACATGAGATTGCATGTCAGCTGTAATTCCCAATACATCCAAAGATCTGGAAGCACAATTAAGGTTTATCGAACAGAGTATCGAAATAAACAAATCATAAGTATATTAATCATAAAGTCGGCTGTATTCTGTATGAAATTCTTTATTTCCTAATAGTGACTTTCATAAGAAAATAATACGATAAATTGAAGGTCCTACGGGACAAAGGAAGTAAAATAATGGAACACTTCCAGTCAGAAGATAATAACTAAGGTTCAAAACCCTACGAATTTTCTAAACAACCCAATAAAAAATACTATAGTTATACTCACTCGAGTGAACCGGTGGGCATGTCAGCATCCGGTGGTTCCGGCTCATAGAATACTTTCTTGAGAGCTTCGAGCACCGTAACACTGTCCGTGAATACACGATACGTCAACAGAAATGTATTCAGAAAATCGATGCTGAGAAATCGTAGATCCGTCAGTCGTTGAAGCAACCGTTCAGGCGTGGCCGATCGGATGTGCGGGACTTTACACGAGTTCAGTGTCCTACTAAATCTGATGTCCACGTCATCCTCGAACAGCTTTGGATCATTCTTGATCGACTCGGGCATCGTGACGGAGCTTGTGTCCGACAACGAGTCGCGAAGTAAGTAACCGTTGAAGTGAACGTTGTCCATGCACTGCATGATGTCACTAATCCAGGCTGCTTTTTCCTATACATACCGCAGTACTTATTTTTATTCATTTATTTTTAATTGTTTGCAATTTTATTTCTTTATATTCATTTATTTTTACGAACTTCATTTATTCTCACTTTAACACACAAAAATGGGGGTTAATCGCATGCCAAAATTCCGTAACAAATATCGACAGTAGGTACCTGTATAGTAGGGGCTACGAGGTGTACTGTAACTTGAGGTCCGCCTGGCTTCAGATCGACTACAATCTTAAAATCACGGTTCTGTAGTTGAGTACTGGTACTTCCACTACCACTTCCACTGCTCTCACTGACGCCGCTGGACATCGAACATACTGACAGTTCTACAATCAGTTCGCAGTCGCGGCAATAATACATTAATTATATACATAATCTTAAATACTCCTTTTTCACGACAGATCAGCCTATGCGTAGAAAGCAGACGCAGCTTCTAAATAAAATAAGCCGAATAAATACCAAATAAATAAACATAACTTAACCGTCTATTAATGCGTAAATCGTGGCTGATTAAGTAAACTCCTAAAACCGTGTACGTTTTTCTTAGTGTATCTTGTGATTATTAAATGCCAGCTGAAGATTAATACGTCATATGGATTAAAATTCGTGTCTTTTCTCAATTACAATTTCATTATCATGAAAATATATCATTCCATTTAAAATCGTTTCGATGGCACCGTGTATTGCAAGTAGAAATAGGGATTAGTGGTCAGACTATTCAGTCATACTTGTACTTAATAAAATTTAATAAAATTCTTAATTGATAAAATAAATTTGCTTTCAGTTTAGTTTTCAAGAAACAGCGAAGGAAATTTCAATAACAAAACAGTCCACTGATAGTCAATAACAAAGCATTGGAGTACAATCTTACAAATAACAAAATTGCAAAATTATAATATAAATTATCGTAATAAATAAAAAGGAAATCTGCTGTCTCCGAAACCTGCTGAAGATTCCTGTAAAGTTATGCCGAACAACAATTACGAACCAATTGCGTTCACGTATAGATAAAAGCCATGCTGCAGTAGCTGTAAAAGTTGCAGAAAGCTGCAATTTACAAGCATTGTTACATGTTAACAGTAATGTTATCAAAGTACCGTCATCATCAGCGTTCCCTTGATCATTCGGATCCTCCACTAGCACCGCATGCGAAAGTGGTATTTTTCCGATTTGGGAGACAAGATTCAGACGGCCGTCGTCGTTTGACTGTCGTGTTGTCAGCAACAAATGATTCGAAAAAAGGAAGCACTGTCTGATTGCTTCCTTATCACCACTGCCTTTGCCTCCAAAAGTAGCACTTAATCTGCTCCGAGCACCTTTTGGCTTATCTAAAATTTGCACAAGCGTACCTAAAAAGGATAACAATCTGTCAGCATATGGAACTGCATTACAGTTACAATACTACGAACGAAATTAAACTAAAAGTGATAATTATTAATACCATTACTGACGAAGTTCGTGTCGTACTCTCGAAAAAGTTTCCGAAAATTTGTCTATGATTACCGAAAAATTTTAATATTGAAGGATTGTTTTGATCGCGATAATAATGCGAAATGTACATATATTCAATATATGTATAGATTACGGACGCGAATATTTTGAAAATACTCTGAAAATTTTTGTAATGAGGTATTTTTTGCTTATGTTTGCATACAATTTTGTTTTTGCAATAGTCTGTCAATTGGTTCACTCAGGTACTTTTTCATTGAAATTCTGTACTCATAATTGCTATTTAAATTGATACTCACGGTCGAGAAATTAACCAAATTTTGTACAATATGTTATGTTGTATCAGTAATAAATGAAAATACTGGAAAGTTGTTATCCAATTTTGAAGTTCGAGTCATTAATCACTTCCGTATTTTTAATATAACAGCGAAAAAACTCCGCACACAGCAGTTATATTTTCACATTTAATAATATGTGACGTTTACAGGACATAAATGTTTATAAGGTTATTTATAAGATAACGCAGTATAAGACGTTATTTTCCAACGTCTTGTCACAGACTAAGTTCACAACAATAACAGCAATAACAGCAACGCAGAAAGTACATATTCATTTACAGAAAGTACCTGTATGTCGTTGATTCGTGACAGTGCCATTTGTACACTTTTTTGGTTTCCGTTATTCAAACCGAAGCTTTTATCAAGCGTAATTCACTTTAATTTAAGATACAATCCCTCACAGCACTTTTAAGATGCGCAGAATTCACACGAATCGAACTGCAAGATGGAGCTCGAACATTTCCATGTATCCCTTTTCCATTAAACCACATAATAAACTCAGTGAACCATAGAACGTGAAACTCAAAAAATTCACAAAACTGAATCACATATTTAACGAAAGTAGCGAATATAAAATTTTCACGATTTTTAAAGAAACAACAAGTAGAAATTTTTCACGGGTGGGGCTTTTCTCGTGCTGGATAAGAAAATATTTGGCAAGGCAGCCATGTGACAGGATACCAAACACGAAGCACCAGTGCCGTGTCACAAAATGTTCTTCGGTAGGCTATTCGAATCTGAGCTTTTTAATTTCAATAACAAAGAATATGACATTGAATTTCACACTTTACATTGACCTAATATTCTCTAGGCAGACTATCCAGTCTAATTACAAATGTTGTATTTAATTAAAGCTAAAAAGGACCAGAAACAATAACAAAATATATATATTTTTAGTTCCACAGTAATTTAAGTCGTACAGTTAAGTAAGATGTAAAATTTAATTGACAATTTATATTGGGATCGTCTAGAATATTTGTTGAAGATTTTTTTTATATTATTACGACAGCCCTGATAATTATTCTTGCGCATAACCGAAGGGATTCGGCGGACACTACGTTCACCCCAAACACGACCTCCATCGATTCTGAGATATACAAAGTCGCGCTTGCGCCCCTAGCCATGAATTTTCGCTTTTCACGGGCTTCCGCGTGGAAGCTACATGGCAACAACCCTCGTACGACAAGTCCGACTGAGGCACATATCGACTGCGATAATAACTTTTCTCGGTGTAGGGTAAATGATCGACGAAACCATTGATAATATCGATGAGTTTTAGACGTTCATTGTTTTTAGATGTTTCATTGATTAATATTAATATATTAAACAATTGTTAAGAAGTATGAACAATATTGATGAGTAGAATGGTTGTAATAGTGTATGAACCCTTATTTATTTTCAGTATTGTATTATCTTTGTGTTATTTAACTGTAACTAGTTTTAAACTTTCTTATCAATAAATTCTACGTCAGAAGCACTATGTAGTCGTGATATACTTATACAAACTTGAGATTCATGAAAACTAAATTATATTAGACAAATAGATCTTCGTTTTTTTTACTCACCCTGTCTGACGAATATTTGATTGACGTCGAGTAAAATGTCGCAACCCTCGACAATCATGCGTTCCACAGCCAAGTTCTTCCGTAAATTTTCAGTTTCGCTGACCTGAAAACACGCGTGTTTATCCATATCAATCATTATTTCATTTATAATTAATTCTTTGTAATACGCATATGAAGAAAATAAGGAATATAGAGTTTATATATTTTCAATGAATCTAAAATACATGTGTATTGTCAATACCTCGTCATGCATTTGCCTTGATAGATCTACCAGTTGTTGCCTTGCACTTTCCAAACTTTTATGTTCCACGTGATCGAATGGTGTATACGCTACCAGGTCGTTTAGCGTAGTAATGTATCTTGGAATCTGAAAAATAAACGAATTGTATGAAATTATTTTTGCGTGTACCGATTTCAGAACTATTCAAATGTCGATAGATAAATTCCAAATATATTAAGGCTATCGTAATAATTCCCGTTGTTTTTTTTTTACATTCAAAATTAACCAACAACAAAACATTTTCTGTCATATTCCATTACTTTTTGAGTTATGCTGTGTTTTACGTTATCTAAGATCCGTTTCTAAAGTAACAAACTCTTGAACATTCATCGTCAAAATATATTCTTCTCTATTCTAATTAAATGATGCATCGAATAAAGAAGAACAAAATTATAGCATAGTAGAAAGAATTACTTAAAATTTTCTGTCTTTCTGTTATTATGTTCGTCGAATCATTTATCATATTAAATTGAATGAAATTTAAACTCTCTTTAAACCATTTAAGTGTCTTTTCTGATTTCACATTTCTAACGATTTTTATTTGATAATTTTAATGCTGTTATTGATCATAATTTTTTCAATATTCCTACACGTAATTTATCCATTAAACTTTTTCTTTTATATTTAATGCTCAACGTTTTTGTAAAAATTCAATGGACAGCAATACCCGAAACATGGGATACGTTAAAAACGTCTCCAAAGGACGTCCTCCGCAAGCAGGCTTGTTTTCCAACCTAGTGAGCAGCGCCGCGAACGAAGGTGATGCCTGCTTGCATTCGGTCAACACCTGAAGGCTGTAATGATGATTTCGGACATACTCTTGATAAATTGACAGCATCGGTAGCAACATATCGAACAGGTCACCTACAGTAATCAAGAAGTGTAAACTTTAGTCTGAAAGTAAATCTATAGTGAGTTACGTTTGTACTATTCGTTCTCAAGATATCAAGATTAAAGACATAGCTTAAAGCTGCCTGAAAATTACTAACACTAATTATAAGTTTATTGTAAGGGTACGAACTATCGGGAACAAAGATATCCTAACTATAGTGTTCCTCTAACGATAATTAGTAAGATAAAAACAGAAATAACACTGATAGGTATGAAATATTTATAGACTACAGATGTTAAAACACATTAAAGTAAAAATATTAATTAATTAAAATAAAAAATAATTTAAAAAATTCATTTAAAAAATTGTAACTTTAGCAAATCAGTCACCTATTTACAATATTTTCAACATAAACGTTTTATCATGGAGGCAAAATTTACGTTTATATTTGTATACATTGAAATTTGTATGAATTAATATGTAAAATTATTAATTCACGTAAATCTTCTAAATATAATTAATAATGTGTAATTCCAGAAACATTCATATTATAAGTTACATGATGAATCATTGTAAACGTACCTAAGACTAAAGTGGGCCAGCTTTCCATACGAGACGTGAGACCCTTTAGAAAGATCTGATGGAGGAACAACACAGTTTCACTGTTCAAAAATATACTGTTCACGTCCTCGTGGCAACAAGGCGGTTTCTTTGAGCTCGCAGACATCTTGAAAGGCCTCAAAAAACAGCTTACTAAGATTTCCATCTGTTCCGTGTACTCCTCCTCGTCTTCCACCATATTAAACACCAAACTGAAATGGAAAAAATTAAACATTCTTCGTGAAATACGATAGTTAGTCTAGAAACCATAATTAGTAGAAAAGAAATTTTGGTGAAATTTCTAGTTTTTAAAATTAGCCTGAAAAAATGGAAATTTGCATAAACCTTGTACTTTATTAAGAACGGAACTTGTCGCCAAACCAGTTCCTTGCGATGAAAAAATGGAGAAAGGATGTAGCGATAAAAAGAAGTTTAAAAGCTTCCTGGCACAGAAAGAATATTAATTTCGTAAACTCGACTGTGTAATTAGCCTTTCAGCACGCTGAAAGCAGTATAATTAGAGAATCGGTCACATGCCTGAAGCTAATTAGATTCTGCTTTGAGGAGTTGTTACTCTTACACTTGACGCAAAATGACCGGTTGTTTGGAACTTTCGTGTTCCGGATGGATACAAACGGGCTCCACACGTGCCCCATTTTCATGTTGATTAAATGTGGCAATGAGCTTTATTTGTTTCGACGAACTAATAATACTGTTACTTCGATTGATAAGTAAAATATTTATTTATTGCATATCTTTGAGGTATTTAACTGAAATGTTCAAATGTCCGTTTGTTTCGTAAGATGTTTTATAAATATCCTTTTATTCGAATATCCAAATGGAATAAATGATGAATACAATTTGAATTTTACATCGAAATCCATTGTTGCCAGAAAAATTTCAAACAACTCGATCTCGAAAGTCTCCAACTTCATGGCCTCAAAAATATAAAATGCCTTTAAAATCACTTTAATTAAAAAAATCAAACACATTCTTCGCGCCATATATTTATATGTAAAGCCATTGGCCAATTTGACTGTTTATAATTAGATACTGGTCTTATCCAAATTGTAAAATATTATTAATTCACCTTAAAAAATATAAAGAAATAAAAGGAAAATATAAGTTACCCATCAATTCATTGAGAACGATTTGAATTTGGGTGATATTTCGTACGCTTACCCTACATATTGCGTTAGTTCTCTGCACAGTTATTACACCTATTTAACTATAAACTGAAACCACACACATCCTCACCTGTTCCGTTTCCGCATAATTTCCGCGTGAGGACTTTTGATATACTGCTCGACGATCTGCTTCCAGCGTCGTCGGCACAACCAGCCGCGAAAAAAACTTTGCACCTTTTTGATTTTCTGCATCTCCAACGATCCTTCGGTGATATCTTGCAACCCAAAGCCCGCAATGCCTGTACTTTGACCCCCGCTACCGAACAGAGATTCTGGGCCGTATAAACATCCGGTTCCATGGGACATGGCCCTGCGTTTCTCCTTCATGGAATTCAACTGCGAACATAACGTAGTGAAAATCGCAGGTGTGTCAAGTATATCCAGCGAATGGTGAAATTCAAAGGGGCAAGTTTCTCGTTGATCGAGTTCTTAGAATTCATGTTGCTTGTGACAAACAGAGAAGTCGCTTTAAAAAATGTAAAATGTAGAACGGTTTCCATGACTTTCGATATCGATCCGTGCGTTTGAATCGCTGGAATCCTTTTTTCGAACATCCTGTCGCTAACTTTATCCTCGTCTTTGAAACGAAAGTTTAATATTGTTAATGGTTGTATATATCTCTATCTGGTAGGAGAAGAATTAATCAGAGACTATACGTGCTCAAGAAAATGAACTCTATAAATATTCATTTGCACAACTTCTTATTTTACGGAATGATATTAAAATTTTCTGGAAATATTCTGTTTCATAGAAGCAATCTTTTGGTTTCAGTATTCGAATATTTTAAAATGTTCAGTATAATCTGCATGAAACAGAATTTATTCATAATTTAAATTATTTCTACAACGAACAATGAAATGTAATTTAAAAATTTTGTTGTTAATATTGTAATTTAATTGATCTTAATTATTTTTCACAATATTCTTTCCCGATTTATATGAAAAATATAAATTCCCCGATTTCCCGAATAACTATTAATCGAATGAAGCAATACTCTATTTGAACAATCATTTTGTTGTTGTTTTGTTCATGTAATATCTAGCTTTGATTCCTAAGTCGTAATTAAGAAAACCGCTTAGAGATTCCAATCGCGTTTAATGGAGATTAAACGTAATACTACACGTATCGCTTTAGCTCAACATACATTTTAGTGTGTAAACTTGGATCACAGAGAGTGGAGGTGTACCTAGTTTGTAACTGGTAATGGCGATTACGATAATCCTTTAAGATTATAGAACGATAATATCTGAAATAATTATGAGCTTATTGTTTTGATTACAGTATTTTGTTTGTACATAATTATCAAGGTTACAATTTGTTGGACAGTGTCATTTTAAAATAATATTACTACTGGTATCTTATACATATTTCAAGTAATACAAAATGTTTATAATGATAAGGTATTTGAAGTGATTCCTTGTTTTGTGTTTTAGATAATTCTAAAATAATTCTAAAATAATTCTAATATAATTTTGAAATTATATTAGGTCGTTGAATATAGTGAAATTGTAAACTTACTTCAGCCTTGAGTTTCTTTACTTCCGATACAAGATCTTCACATCGCCGTGCATACTGGAATTTGTCTGTTTTCTCACCCTCGACAATCTGCAACAGGTGCAAGTGCTTCTGCTCGAGCTTTTCTTTCTGCTGCAGTAATTTGTTGAAACTGTAAGCAATGACCAAGTGGGCAATAAAATAGACGTCTCTGTGTGTCTACGTTGAAAGTATAGAGTGCGTCTCAAAATCACGGTATAACCAAAAGAAAAGCAATTTTCAATGCAAAATTAAAAAGAAAATATGAAATAACATTTTTCACGTACCAGCCTTCGTTTTTGAGAAGAATGAATGCAGTGTATATTTTTAAAGCATTTTTTAATGATGTATCATAAGGTATATCATTTCAATATGATATAATACAATTTACTATTATTACATATTAAAAATTTTTATTTCAAACGTTCGACTTTCTTCATCAATTATTCCGTTATCAATTGTACCACCAATAATGGTCTATCTTGTATGGATCTGGAATGAAAACCGTTTGCAACCATGAAATTTTATGTTAGTCTTGCAAACCGATTATATGAAATAAAACGCAATATCGGTGTATCGAGTGACAATTCACGTTGTAATTACGACGCCATTTATTCAATCAGTCAAACTAACGACCATGGCGCGCGATGATAAAAAAGCAGAAATAATTGAAACGCCGACAGTTCGAAATAAAAAATACATCCATTCGACACAAAAACATTTGAAATGAAACCAAATACGGATGATTGGTTTCATCCAACTGAGAAACTTTATTGGCAAAATGACTTATGACAAACAGACTGTAGATGTTCATCCATTTACAGTACAGTTTAATCTCTAAAACGCAGTAACGTGAAGACTTTAATCATTTTTAACAATATTTTGAAATCGTTATGAAGGTATTAAAATAACTCCACATTATATATTATGTACTGTTAAATTGAAACTTATAACTAAATTCGCGGACATACTGTGCATAATTAATCGACGAATTTCTCAACTACAACTAATTAAGGTGTTCTAACTTAGAAGTAGGTTACGAGCGAATTCCAAAGTAAACCGCAGTGATTTCTCAGTGGTTGGAAATCGCTGTATGTTTCCCATTATTTGACCAAGTCGGTCAAGAAAGCACATTTACACGATTTAGAGGAAATTTGAAGAAAATTCGACTAACCATTGTTACCCAGATTATATGAAACTTTTTCTAACGAGTATAGAAGAAATTTACAAGAATTAATCGCAAACAAAATATACAATGAAACGCAATCTATATCATATATATCATATACAGTATAAACAGCTAAAAATATATTGGTATATGTTCACGTTTTTAAAATAATTATGTAGATTTTTAAACTATATAAACGAAAATTTCTATTACCTTATTTATCTTCAATTAAAGGTAACTTTGAAACGATTCAATATACTATTGTATTTAAAACAAGTGATCTGATTATGCAAATAATTTTTTTACACCCTGTGTGATGAAAAAACATCGATTTTGGGTACAATTAATTTGAGAAAACTGTTAAAGACGAAAATGAAGAATGGTATCAGACGAATTTTTCTATCTATTATATTGTAAATGGAACTTTTAACTTCTAGATACACTAAAAAAATTTATACTGAATTGTGTAGAGGAAGCATATCGATTCTAATTAATCTACTGGAATGGCCACTGTGGTTATAACACCGTGACTGTCATCTTTACATTTCACTGAAAGGAAAAAGTAGTTTGATGATGAACACGCCAGACCAGTGACGCACGTAGAGACGGTGTGCTCGTTTCGCACACCTGGAGGCATTGTCAGGACGATCACGTTCGTCAGACAGGTCGAACCATTAAGGTAGAAACGTGAAAAAAGAGGGAAGTTACCACGACTTAGAAATTTATCCTTCGCGCTCGTAGTCTACAAATAATACAGAAAGCAACCCTTTCCCTCGTTTTTCAGAATGTAACAAAGAGGATCCCACCAAAGGTTCCAATTACTTTGTTTGTTCTTTACTTTCTTTTATTACCTGCTGGTGAGTGTCTTAAAGGCAGTATACTTCAATTGCATAGAGTACCGTTCAACAGCTTGAAATCAATTACTTGACGGGCAGTCAAATTGAACTTTCTAATCGAAAATATATAAACTAAATTACACGACTTTCCGAATAACAGTATCACGTACTACTATCTTCAACTACGTGAATGTCAATGAAGCAAGTATTAAACATATTACACAGTTATAAATGAAATACAGCGAAACAGAAAATTCATCAGAAAATCTATTTGTGATATTGTAAAAAGACATTGAAATAGATTCTACGTTTTTTCACGACTAACTGGGAATTTTTCACTCTTTCTACCACGGCCGTACGACAAAAATGTTATTATATCTGGGACTTTGGTAACGAGATATTAACAAAAAACGTTAATATCTTCGTTAATATCTCGTTACCAAAGCCTCGGATAACATTTTCGCTAACGAAAAATTTGTTTCAAATCACATCAAGAGTCTCCCATTTCCGGGTCGTCCAACATTTTTGTTACACCCTGTAGAACAATCTATGTATATTTCACCTACAGTACTAATCCTATTAATACCTAGTTATGTTTCTATAAAAAATACTTTTCGAAGATTATACGTCCTATTGGTCAGCAGAGCAACTGCAGTATGAGATCCTGTAATGGTTTGGAGTAGTGTATTTTCGGAGATGAAATGCTCGATTTTATGCAGCAGGCAAATGCTGGTTTCATGGCAGAGAAGCTCCGTGAAATTCTCACTGACCTTTGACTCGAGTACGCAGAAAACCGTGCAATTCACTTTTGTCACGGATATCATGCCTCGTTAAAAAAGTCCCACTGGCGGTACGTCGAATCGATTTCACGGCATCTCTGCGATTCATCCGCGGCACCGCCACTTTAATTATTCCACTCTGGGACTTTGAATTATGTACAGAAACGTTACCTGGCTTCTCGTATGGCATCGATCCACGTTTTACAGTCGAACTCGGTAGCCGCTTTCAACTCGTATTGCCGTTGGTTCTCCCTTCTGTAGGATATTGTGAAACAGTGCTGAAATAAATTACATTTAGTTATACAATTACGTATTCGATAATGATCACATAATTCAATAATCAAATGAAGTGATTCTATCAAGGCTTAGAATATAAATAGACTTCCATATGTAATAACATCTCCGTATATAATAACAAGCTGATACCAGTGATCAGGATATACAGGGTGTTCCGCTTAAAACACCGGAAAATAATATTTCCTTTGTGATATATGTATTTTTAAAGTAACTTCATGTGAGTTTATTATTTTATTATATTAGATTTTGTAATGATTACCCGACCAACAAGTGTAGAATCTGAGAGAGCTTCTTCAGAAAGAAGACCAAATCAGAAGACCAAAATTTAAACACATAATATTTTTTGCGTGTCTATTTATTAAAAAGAGTTGATAAATAAAAATTATTTAATTATTTATGTAAGTTAAGATTCCTTTCATTCTTTTCGTTCAACTAATTTGTACAGCTAATACATATCCATGTACTATACAATTTAATTTATGTAATATACATTCAACACTGGTAGTTCTAATGTTAGTAAATAAACGGCTTAACACATTTGAACGAGAAGACTAAACGAGGGAAGTAAAGGAGGTTGTTTGTTTTTCTGCTTAAGCAAGAAAAAATAAATCTATCGCGTCAGGTTAAAGCTTCGGGACAGAATGTAGAAGAAAGAAATGTTTAATAAATTTCCAACGCGTTCGTTGCTGGCTCGGCGTCAGTTTGCCCTGGCAGTAAAAACTATCGTACCAACAAGTTCGTATTATCAGCTTGGTTACACGCAGTAAGCTAACGCCATGCTGGTAATCCATCAGCTGCTTGCCAACCGACGTTCTCCTGCGAGATATATACTTGACGTTACTTACAGACAATTTGCTACCGAGCCCGGTACAAACTTTCCGCTAGAGGAAACTGTTCTGTTGTTCTTCATCTTTCCGTCTCCACTCCAGTTGCAATTTTTTTTTCTGTGTCAATTACGATGGAAAAAATTTATGATAGGAACACTAGAGAGACCGGAACTAACAATTTTCCGAGATATAAATTATATTGGAATTGTTATGCCATTGTTTCTTTCGTCATATTGTTACGGTCTATTATTTTTATTCGGAAGAATACAATTACAGAAATAACAATGTGCCGGGATGCAAATAATTGTTTAATTTTTATGCCATTGTTTATTCCGTTATATTGGTTTCAGTATATTCTTTTTATTCGGAAAACGTAATTGATATTTGCAGGTACTGGGTAAAGAACAATTCACATTCGATACTTTGTACAATAACAAATATAGTATTACCTATTATACATATGTTTATTTGTACTTCTTTTGTACAATATTTACCTACTTCTTCTTCTAACTATTGATTTGTTTCCCCTAATTTACAATGAATGAGAATTTTTATTTGTTATAAAGTATCAATATTCTTTCGAGATTATAACATATAGGGTCGTAAAATATGTTCGAAAAAGTTTCAAGGTCTATACTGCTCTCACCTCAATTGTCCTAACTAACATCTTCAAACTAATCTAATAACTTTTCAATAAAAAAACAAGCAACAGCTAAAAATTCTTGGGGGTTACTCAAATGACTGTCTTTAACAGACGTTAAGGTTAAGGTTATCGAACTTGCATCCCCTAAGCATACCTTTCGCCAAATTTTAACTACGAGACTGATCTAGACCCTTAAGGAAGTCATCTCTATCGGAAAAGCAATAATCCCGAATTTCAACGAGACGCTGTTCTTGTCTAACGCCGGCAGGTTAATCAGCCCACATGGGAATAATTAGGAAGCCGAGGCCTCGTGAACGAAAAGGAACATAAGCTCCCCATTAAGACCAAGGTCACATTTCGATCGCCCATAAATCTTTCACTTTCAGCATACCTTATTGCGGCAGAAGAGATCCCGGGTGAACGGAGGACTTGCGAGGGTCTCCTCGTCTGGATGGAGAAGAGGCTATTAATAGTGATAGTCGCTAAGAATTTAATGCATCTTCCACAAAGACAGGTTAAAAACAACCTACAAGCCCTCTTTTGAACTCCGAAGGCTGCACTTGGGTTAAGAGGACAAGGCCAACCGATTTACTCTCTGACTTATTAGCCTAATTCTCATAACGCAGCAAACGACGCAGGTCGAAATACATCAAAAATTTATGCGTGTAATTGCTTCAGTTTTTTATTTTGTTCTGCTCTATGTGGAATTATAGTGAATGAACTTACAGTTCCCCTTGAGTATTCTAGGCTACTTTTTAGGCTTTTTCGTAATTACTAACTATTTATTAAAGACTATTTACTTCGCTACCCCAAGCAAAATGTTTAAAAGCAATACAATTGAAAGTTTTAAAAGGTTAAACTGTAAAATGCATATATTGAACTTCAGAGGGCTATCAGGGTGCAAATGAAATACGGCTACGACATGTTATGATACAGCGTATTCGACGAAAACTAGATTTTTAATGTTGAGGAAGGAATGGAGATTGCCAATCGTTTCGTTTCCGGTACCGTTACACAATCTGCGCTACTGTCAGCCTGTGGAGGAATTCCGAATGTTATGGAAAATTCGATTGCGAAAACTCGGTCACCTGTTTGATTTCTGTCACGTTGGTATATTCATACGTAGTGCAGCTACGTATATCGATCACGATGAAATCAATTTTCACCGATAAGTCATATTTGCTCCAATTTTCCTGATGAAATTTGTTATGATGCCACAATATATTCCGAAATATTCCCGACTGTTAATCTCACATGTAATATCGAAAATATTATTTTGCTATGACAGTGATGATGAAAATGTGAGATTTGAACATCAAGTGAATTGATAAGTTCAAATATTGTACTCCTTAATATCAAATTGTATTATTTATTAATTAAATTATTAAATTATCTCTTAAAAATATTATACCCCATTTTACTTCAAAAGTTTCAAAAGGAATTAATAAAGTACTTTTTAATTATTTCATATAATTAAAGATATGGTATTTTTAATTGAACACACAGCGCAGCTTTAAACATACATTTACACATATTCTAAGTCTGGCAGTGCAGTTTAACCAGTGCTGTAGGAAATTCCTGTATCGCGCAAGTATAGTAAGCATGTCACAAGCAACTGGTACAGTATTCTATGAACAAGCGAAATGGGTCAATGCCATTCGACACGAGCGGAACTGGACATTCTTCCCTGAACCAGTGAAGTAGGTCAATACGATCAGATATAAGTAGAACGAGACAGTGCGTTTGCAAGAGGTAGTTAGACACGGGTTTCAGGTGCAAGTAGAATAAGTCAATGCTGAGAGTGAGTGAACGGAAAGTCAAGTAAGGAGGTTGGTCAAATTAATATGAGCAAGACTTTTCCCTTTGTAGCGGGGTAAATATTGACACACAATGGACAACACTGAGTGTCGACACATTATGGATCAGACGTATTACGATCTGCTGTATCTGGGAGTCAGGTACGTTAGATGTTTTATTCTACGTTTTCGAGTCTCTTTCTACGTACAAGCTCCTATTCTTCGATGTATCATTATAAGAATAAAACTAGAGATTTAATCAGATCAAGAAAAATTACGTGCAATTCCTGGCAATATATATTAACAAATATCCCTTTAAACAACGGGACCGCGTTTCACGAAGTTCTTACGAAACGTATTACGTGTAATGAAATTCGATATCAGAAGTGACCTTTAGAACAAAATGTGAACGCGATAGCTGAAAGTCCGTGTGCGTAGGATGTGCCAGGTTCTCCTAATTAACCTGTCAGAACTCACCGCGTGAGATTTTTTCCCACGTGCTTCGACCAAGCTTTTTTGAATACTATAGAGGGTGTATCGTAACAAACGGAAAAAAATTCACATAAACATGTGTCCCAATTGACCTCGTCTAAACGCTTCGCACAGGTTTACAAGGCTAACTTTCAGTCATTAATGTAAGTGTCGTCAAGGAAGCATTAAACGCCAGAAAAAGAAGACGTGAGAAGAATTCCCACGCCTGTGTTCTCAGATGATGCAAAAAGGGTATGATTTCTAAATGATTTTAAAGAAACTACGATAGAGAATAATGCAGTAAGTAGACTACTAGTGTGATTATTAGTGTAAAATTCAAAGTATTTTACGCATATCACCATTCGTTATAAAAGCAATAACGATAAAAAAAATGTAAAAGTTACTTTCACTATGCAACTAATCAAATTCTTATAAAGTGAACTATCGAAATTGTTGTTTAATTTTTAAAAGCACTAGTGTAGTGTTGCTCTAATTAGATCCAGAGATCATACTTAAGATGCAATGAATATGTCATTTGAAGTGACCGTCATTCATACCTTCAGTATTGTTGTTTGGGACATTTCAGAATCTGATTCTCCGTAAGTGACGTTCATTTCATGCTGCAAGAAACATTATTAATAACATTATTAATAAATATTACTAAACAAATATTAACTTTTAGTCATCAGAGCTCTACTACTATATCGTAATACTCACAATTAAATGATTATGTTATGAATCCTATGTACATTGAGGGACAGAAGTATTCGTACGACAAGTGTGGAAATAAATATATTTAAATACAAAATAAATATGTGTGAAAGAAATGTATTAATAGAAACTAAGCTTACTTATAAATTACTTTACTTATAAGATAGAAGCTTACTTATAAATTACGGACAAAAGTGCAGTTCCAGGAGTGATTGACGCTTCGTTAGCGTAAGAATTTTCTCTGAAACCCTTTTTCATCTTGATCATCTTCATTTACGTTTATGTTAGTTGCATACTTCTTGTAAGAGTAACAAAACAAGTTACAGTGATGCCAGACTCACAGACTAATCAGAAATTTTTGGCTACCGAATCCCGTTGAACAAATAAAGGAGAAGAGTACGCCTATCCACAAACAATGAGAATTCTCAAGTAACAGAAGAAATTGGAACGGATCTCGAGAGTAAATATTTAACTATAGCCAGGAAGGAAACAGTTCCCTAGTCGGCGGAATGCAAAGTCTCCTAGGGACACTG